TTCTTTCTTTCTTTCTTTCTTTCTTTCTTTCTTTCTTTCTTTCTTTCAGACAGGGTCACTCTCAAAAATCTCAGCTGGCCTCAAGCTCCCTATGTATTAAGATTGATTGCAAACCTTCCTGCCTTCACAGGAAGTCTGGGATTATATTCACACACAACGTGTGTAGTTTATGGAGAGCTAAAAATTAAATGCAGGGCCTAGTGCATTTCAGGCATGTACTCTAATACCTGAGTTACATCCACAGATCTGATCTCCATTTTTATTGTGACAAATAAAAATGAACTGGACCTTGAAATATCAAATCCATATTTTTTACAAAAAGGTTAATTTTCTCTGCATTTGAAACATATTTTTTTTTTTTTGCCGGTAAGGTCCTTATATCTAATTTACTATGATATAACAGTCAAACTATTTAGGTAAAATTCCTCATATTTTACATGACCTCAATCCAAGCATTTTGCATGAGAACATCATACTAAGTCAAATAAGCCAGGTATACAAAACTCCGTATGGAGTGTTCTTACTCATCTGCAGAAACAAAACACTGATATCTCAGAAAAGAGTACCTGGGTGGTCAGCGGAGCCTGAGAGTGTAGGGAGACAGTGTCAGCAGCAGGAGTTAATTGTGGTGTTCTATAGCTCCATAGGGTAACTTTAGTCTACAATGATCTACAATCTATTTCAGAATAAACACAGTAGAAAACTCCAAGTCTCCCTAATGCAGAGATGATTAATTTTAAGAATGTGGAAATGTTAACTCTGATTTGATCATTACACAGACATATTTTCAAATTACCATGCTGTGCCCATAGTTGTGAACAAGTAAATGATAATATGAAAGACCAAACTGTTTTAAAAAGGATGCAAGGTGTTTTAAAATTGCTCTCTCTCTCTCTTTCTTTCTCTGTTATGTGTGTGTGTGTGTGTGTGTGTGTGTGTGTGTGTGTGTGTGTTTGTACGACTGAATGCAGGCAGAGACCAGAGGACAACCTCAGACATCATTCCTCAGATATGTCTACTTTTTAACAATTGAGACAGGGTCTCTTGTTGGCCTGGACCTCACTGAGTATGCTGTGCTGTCTGGCTATTGAATCCCCAGGATTCACCTGACTCTGTTTCCCACTGCTTATAAGAGCATGTGCCTTTGCTTTCTTGACAGGACCTTCACCTACCGAGCAATCTTCTTAGCCAATACTGACATTCTTTGCATGCATTCATTTGCTTTCAGTTTGTGTCACTAATACTTGCTTGCATTGTTGAGAGCCATCAAATAAATGCTATCAATTAAGGAACATTCAAATGGTAATAAAGGCTAGCTTTAGGAAGCACACAGAATACTTGTGTTATTTTTAGAGAAAACAGTGAAAGGAAATCAAATGATGAAATATTTTCGATACTATTCTCTCTTTTTAAAAGAGATATGTCTCTAATAAACACATTCTATTTAGACATAGTGGGGATTTCCAGGAAATCATGAACTCATTATGAAGCACTTCACAGTGTCACTTCAAACCATGAGCAGCAGAAGGAACAAACTTGAAAGTATGAATGTGTGTTGGGGGAACCGGTGTTAAAAACACATACTATTAGGCAACATGGAAGTATTTTTGTTTCCAGGATAATGTTTATTTCGGTAACTATAAACTGGCTTGGATAAGCCTCAAATAGAAAAATAGGCTGTAAGCTAGTCGGGTAGGATCAGTTTCTCCCGTAAATATAGTAGTAGGAGACAGGTTGACTTTTGCTATGGGCTGAGTACTTAGGTACTGTAGCACTCAAGCAGAGCATGACTTTGTGAAAAGGGGGCTTGTGCTGGTCAGTTTTGTTTTTGTTTCTGTCAACTTGAAACAAACAGGAGTAGTTTGGCATGAGGAAGCCTCAAGTGTGGAAGTGGTTTCGTCAGACTAAGGCCTTTTCTTGGTTAATGGTTGATGAGGGGGGGCCCTGACCACTGTGATGAGCAAACTGGGGGAAGAAAGCCAGTAAGCGGCACCTCTCCATGGCCTCGGCTTCAGCTCTAGCCTGCAGGTTCCTGTCTTGCTTGAGTGCTTGCCTTGACTTCTCTTCATGATGAACTGTGATCTGGGGGTTGTAACTTAAGAAAAAACTTCTTCTTCCCATGAGGTGCTTTTGGCCATGCTGCTTATCACAGCGATATGAAACAAGCCAGGACAGGCCTTTGCCAGGACAAAAGCTGTGGTCCAAAGGGACTTTGTTAGGTAACTTGAAACATGTGCTCATTCTATTTACAAGGTATGGCAAGGCATCTTTTGGGAGGATCTAAATAATTTTCTCACTTAAATCTATTCAATTTAAAAAATGGCTTATGGCATTTGAAGGGAACGATCATAAGTAGATAAAATATTAAGAATTTAATGTGTCTGCATGATGATTCTTAGAAGACTGCTGATCAGTGTAGAAAAGGCTACGGTTGCATCTAAACATGGAATGTTTTGAATCACAGATCAGCCTTTATGAGTGTATAACTTTATGCACAGCCATGTTTCATGGGACAGTGAGAATACAGTGTTTTCAGATGGTGAGGCAGTCACAGTGGAGCAAGGAAATGATGGCAGTGCATGGACTAATCAGAAGCTTGCCTAACAAGGATTTCCCTGGACAGAAGCACAAGCTTCTTCCGACACATCCAAGAAGATGAGAAAGACTACATGCGGTGAGGAAACAGGATAACCAAAAAAATTTACACCGACTCTTGGCCAGATACGTAAATTAATGAGTTAATAGATTGTTATGGAAAATGATCTGGCATTATTAGCTAAACCTTTCTATCCCCACAGAAATGTGGAGATACATTCCCCAAATGGCCTGCTAAATGTTTGCTCCTGTAGGGTTCATAATAATTTCTCAATTGAATTGTCTCAAATATCTACCAGGGGGAGTGTGAAGAGGGTTATATTTTGATATGATTTCAACCAAAATGCTATCTAGAAATTACAATGACATGAATCAAATCTGCTGTCGACAGCACAGATTAATGTTGCAAATGTAATCCTTAGCAAGATAATCCAATAAAAGCTTATTATTGTTAAGATTCCATCTAAAGGAGTGATTGAGCCACCTCATTGTATGATGTAAGTGAGAAGAGCTTTTGGACCGTGTTAACAAGGCTTTGCAGGCGCTGTAATGAGCACTTGCCCCAGGCTGGTAAAACTGTTTCTTGGCTCAGCTGCTTAGTTCATGGGTGCGTTTAGCTTGTGAAACACTAATCAAATGTGGTATGTCATTTGCCCTTTTTTCTCATGTAAATGGTTCTTCAAAAAACATTTTTTCTTAAAGTGTCTTGACTTGATGTTCGATACTAGATGAAATGATAATACATCCCACTGAACACAATTTTAGGCACTGATATCTTAAAACATGAGAAACATTGATTAATTTTTAGTTTGTAGGAATAACAGATTTAGGAAAACTATGTTGTACAGTTTTCTATTAGAACATGATATGGTTATTTTACATATGAAAATGAATCATATTTAGGATGTCTTTGGATTATAGGAAGATAAGGAAAGTGCAGCATTTTGTTACACGTGTGGTAATGGTGAGTTTTTCTTCTAACATTCACTGCATTTTTGTATATGGTGTCCATATTTTCTTTATGATAGTTTATTTTAATTAACAATATAATGACAATGATATTAAGACCTAGTTTCTAGATAGTAGCAATAAGAATATGTTGAAGACAACTTCTGGTTATTTTTCAATGGAAAAGAAAAGCAATTGCTAGCAAAAGCCACTTTTGACTGATGGCTTATTAAAAACAAATAATGCAAAATGCAATTTCTATTGCTGAACTGAAGTTTGTAGCCAGGTTTTACTCAATCATTTCTAATGCATTTAGAAATACTCATAGATACATTATGTCAAAGACAATTGAGTCTTAAAATCAATCTTGTCCTTTAAAATCATAAAAAGTTAGGTTCTGTATTCTTAACTCTTATTGTGAAAATGTTTTCTATGACTGAAAACTTTTATGACTAAAATTAAAAGCAAAAAATGAAAAACCAAGCTTGAATTTGAGATGTTGTTTGGTGGTAAGATCTTTGGGATGATTCTTGGCATCATAAAAATAAGCAAAAACAACTAAGAAAAAACCCTGTGCCAAGCAAGGCAAATCTCACTTTGAATTGTTGTTTAGGAGAGATTATCCAAGAGACTCTGAAACAATGTAGGCTATTGCTGCTGCCCTTGGCTGTCTCCCATCTCCCAGAATTTGAAGCTAAGTTCTCACTGCTGAAGACACCACACGCTTTGGACATAGGACTTGGAGGCATTGAGCAGGAACTTACCTGGAAGCCTTGTCATAAAGTACTGACATTAACAAAGACAACAAAACTCAATGCCAGCTATGTTGACATCATAAGGAATATTTTAACTTAGAGCAGCAAATAAGATCAATAACACGAATGTCACTGACTGAGGGCCCTCTGCAGAGCTCCATACATCATTTGATCCTTTACTGATATGGGTGGTTTTACTTGCCTGGAAGCTTCTTCAAGGTTTTTATGACTGACCTTGAGCTCACCTGTTCCAAGTCCATTCTTTTTTCTGTTTTTTCTTGTCTCAGGGCACAGAGAGAAGCTTCTTGTACTAAAGCAGAGGGGTCTGCACCTGGATAGCAATATCAACAAAGTTGATTAGCAATGGCCTCCAAAATTAAAACATCTTCAGCCAGTGGAGGTTTGCTGCCAATTTTTTGTGACAGTCTTCAGTAATTTCACTTGGCATGGAGGTGTCTATTGCATAGAACTCACCAAGAATTATGCTCTCTCTGAAGGGTCTACTTTCAGTGTGACACAGATGACCTCATTGCAAGCATTTTGTTTTCAAATTAATGACACCTAATTGGAGATGATGTTTCCCATCTGAACAGCTTTGTGGGAAACTTCCTACATCATTTTTAAGAAAAAAAAAAAAAAAGAAACAAAACAAAACAAAAAACTGATAAAATCTTATTCAAATAAAATTTTATTTTGCACTATCTCGATCATACATAAAAACTTACAAATAAAGAAACAAAAAACAACAAAAAAACCCTGTTTTCCTGAGAAGTAGTCACCTTATACCCCATCACTCCAGATTCACATTCAGATCACTTTTCTGAAAACCAGGATACTCTTCTGCATAATCAGCCATCAAAAATACTGACTCATTACTATTATTTAAGTCTCAAGTTCAAGCTCCAGTCAGTCTTTCTCAGCTGCTCTGATGTCATTTATAGTAAAAGGATCTGCCTAAAATTAGCTTTTCTGGTGTGTTTAAGTCTTCTGGTTTCTTTAAAGTTACCAAAAGTTTTTGTTGTTGGGTTTTGTTTTTGTTTGGAGAGCGTTCCTATGTAGCTCTGGAACTTATTAGACAGAGTTAGCTGGCCTTAAACTCCCAGAGTTCTGCCTGCCTCTGCCTCTGTGCTGTGATTAAGGTGTGTGCCCTGTATTTGAAGCTCATAGGTCAGTGATTGGATTGACCTAATTTACATCTTTTAAAGATAGAGTAGAAAAGCTGTTCTCTGCATCCTCTCATTGTTACTTAAAATCAACACTGCAGTCACTTCACTCAAGTGGTTCTGATAGGCTTCTTACATACAGTGTTACTTCTTTTCCTTTTTAATTTACACCTATGTGTGGGAGGATTTTTCACCTCTCATACCTGTATCCCACCCTCACGAGATTCAGGTGAGTTTATTATTCATTATCATTGTTTGATACTCGGATTGTCTTTAGTGAATTTCTAAGCTGATATTTTATGAGAGATTTTATGCCATGATTACTTCGTCTAACCATTTAAGTGTTACTGTGTATTGTACAAATAGGTCTGGTTACTTAAAAATAAGATCAATAACACAAATGATAGACAGCTGATGCTGGTGAGGATTTGGAATGAGGAAAACACTCATTCATTTCTGGTGTGAATAAAAGCCACTATGAACATCAAAATGATCATTCCTCAGAAAGTTGGGAATTGATCTACCTTAAGACCCAGCTATATTATATACATATATTATATATACACAAAAGACGCTCCATCCTATCACAAGAACACTTGCTCAACCATGTTAATTGCTGCTGTATTCATAATGGCCATATTTTGAATTAGGAAACATATGTTATTAGGAAACAACCTAATATACCTCAATCAAAGAATGGAAAAAGAAAATGTGGAACTTTTACACAATGAAACATCACTCAGTTGTTTAAAAAAGGCTTCATGAAATTTGTGGGCAAATGAATAGAACTAGAAGAAATCATCCTGAGTGAGGTAACCCAGACCCAGAAAGATAAATGAGATATGGATTAACTTATATGTAAATATTAGCCAAAAAATAAATGATAACCAAACTACAATCCACAGAGAGGTTAGGTGTAGAGAAAGAGACAAGGAGTGACATTCCCTGGGAAGGGGAAATAGACTATATTTTATGGGTGGATGGAGGCAGGTGGAGACTAAATCTGGAGAATCAGGTGGGGAGGAGGGAACAATGGGATGAGAAAGGGATTACATGGAGAGACAGCTGGAACTAAGGGACCTTTGAGGGGTGATGTGGGAACCTAGTGCAGTGGAAACTTTCTAAGATATATGAAGGTGATCCTAATGAGAGGTGATTCCAATAAGAGGGAATATGGGGTCTCAACTGGCTATCTCTTCTGGCCAGGTGAGGCATCTAAGTGTCTGGACTGTGTTGCATTCAGTTGAGATGCTGGCCAAGGGATTACCATGGAAATTCCTAAGCAACCTAGACTGTTGTCAAGATAATAAGACAACCTAGACTGTTGTCAAGACTGAGAGTAGAGAGTAGGTCTTCATTTTTTTTTTTTTTTTTTTTTTGAGAGCAACACTCCCGCAACTCATTGAACATGGAGAAGTTGAGTTGGTGCCTACATGGAGCCTTCTTTTCAGGCCACCAAAGGAGAACCACAAACACCAACCCAGCCACAAAACCTTTGACCTATAATTTATCCTCTCTGCAAGATATGCTAGAGCAATGATGGCACAGAACTTGTGCAAGTAGCCAACCAATGTCTGATTTGATCTAAGACCCACTCCACAAGATGGATTCCATACCTGATGCTTCTTGGTGACCAAGAACCAGAAACTAGGTATCCCAGAGACCTGGGATAAAACGAAACACCACTGGTCTTAAAAAGAAAGTATCAATAAAATGATTCCTAATGATACTTTTCTATACTCTTAGATCAATGCCTTATTCAGTCATCAATAGAGAAGTTTTCTCTTGCAGTAGATAGGAAGAGCCAGGCATTACACAGAGACAGTGTCCTTGAAAGATCTACCTCTAAATGGGATGTCACCATCAAATCCCTCTTCTCAAACCCAGAAGACGAAGCTGAAAGAATATAAGATCCAGAAGGGACAGAGTACACTAGAAGAACAAGGTGCACTGAATCAACTAATCAAGCACATATGAACTCACAGAGACTGAAGCAGCAAGCACAGGACCTTCAGGTCTGCACCAGGTCCTTTGTATACAATAGCAATTAGTGTTGTACTTTAATGGGGCATCTGAGTGTGTGAACAAGCGGTTATCTGATTCTTGTACCTGCTCCTGGGTCTTTTTGCTTCTGGTGGGTTGCCTTGTCTAGCTGCCATATGGTGTGGGGGGGGGTTGGTTTATATATATTTTATTTTGTCATGTTAGGTTTTATCTTTTATAAACAACTTCTTCTTAAATGAGAGACAATAAAGGAATGAATCCAGAGACAAGGCGAGGAACTGTGAATAGAGGGAAGGGAAACTGTAATCAGAACATATTGTATGAGAACGTAATCTATTTTCAATAAAAAGAAAAGGTTAAAAAGTAAAAAAGAAAGCATACAATGTGGGCATTCCTTTTGTCTACTGTCAATATGCCCTTTCATTTCAAGAAAATGAAACGCCCTGGTTTAATCAGTCATCTTAACTGCTTTAAAATGTACCCATGGTGTTTATTGAAATTGATTGTACCTTAAAAAAATTTTTATAGCCATGTAAACTTGTATCAATTCCCGCAAACGTTACACACCTGACACACCTTTTCTTCCTTCCTTCCTTCTTTCTTTCTTTCTTTCTTTCTTTCTTTCTTTCTTTCTTTCTTTCTTTCTTTCTTTCTTTCTTCTTTTCTCTCTTTCTTTATCTCTCGCTTTTCTTTTTTTTCTTTCTTTTTCTTTCATTTGACACTTAAAGTATGTTTGGCATCAGAAACGATTTGAGATGCTTTGAGAAATTTGTGAAAACTACTACTGCTAATAAAATAAAAGTTCAATCAACTCTGCTATATTTAGTTAGCAAAATTTCCTGGAGATGTAGCCAACAAATGTATGACAAAATATAAAGTTGCTGCAGCCTGTAGATGTGTTATTTGACGACATTTAAAGCTTTTAGGTTTTGAGTTTCTTTTTTTCTCTGAATAAATGCTCTTTCTACTTAATTTTGTATATGTAATTATGTATTGTTTCTTAAAGAAGCCCTCTGAGATAATAGGTTTCAAGCCTCATTAAACCTGAATCAGTCCTTGTGTTTTAGGATCTTTTTTTGCTATTACAGTGGATGATAACATAATTTGTTTTCCAAATGTAAATAGTGCTGACAGTGAAATCTTAATATGTATGAACAATTGTAGATCCACTACTGGAATGTTCCCTAACAAACCAGAAGTATGGCATCTTACTCATCTAATTCCCCTAAGGTAAAGGTCTGATAGATTCTAGAGAAAGGGGAACACTTGTCTCTTGTGGGGCATTAGTGTCATTCCTAAGGTTACAGTGGCATTGAAGTTCCTTTAAGGAAAGCTGCTTCCTTCTAACCAGAAGAATGCCATCTTCAGTAGTGGCTGCATTGTCATCTTCTGTGGCCTGGTAAGGCTGCTCCCTGCTCAGGGGGAGGTGATCAAAGAGCAGGACAATCAGTTTATGTCAGAGGCAGTCCCTCTTCCCATTACTAAGGAACCCACTTGGACACTGAACTGCCATGGGCTACATCTGTGCAGGGGTTCTAGGTTATCTCCATGCATGGTACTTGGTTAGAGTATGAGTCTCTGGGAAGACCCTTGTGTCTAGGTCAAAATGTGCCACTGTTTCCTCCCTTAAGAGTTAATCTAGTTGGGCAGGTCAATCCCCAAGAGACCATACCGATGAAGGTGAGTTTACCTTAAGCCATACTAAAGAGATGGAAGGTATAATTTGTCTCATAATGAGATAATGTACTTTTCCTTCTCAAAATTCTGGCTCCTAATGGCAGTTCTCTCTAGGGCGATGGCCGGGCTTTGCTGAGTCTATGTGCCTTTTTGAGTCTGGACTTCATGTTGTTGTTGTTTTTGTTTTAGTTAGTTATCCTAAAAGTTATCTCTTCCAGACTTTAATATTTAGGTTATAAACTTCCACCAATAAAACTAAATGATAAGCTTAAAGGAACAGTTCATAAATAAAAGCACAGCAACAGTATACCACATGATTATAGAATATGATTAAAGGGTAGTAAAAGATATGAACAGTACTTTCAAAATATCAGCATGGTTTAGCTTTGGAGAGTCTACGTCATTTCAGCTTCTGTTGAGTGGGGATTAGAGGGTGAACTAGGGGTCGTATTAAAAAAAGCAACAGCTTCCAAAATATCACTTGCAA